TCAACACATACTCACATGTTTATTTATATTCTTACACAATTACTGTAGTTGAGCTGTTAAGATCCGCGCCTACACATCTCCAAGTGATCAAGCTCGCGTACGTTAAACCCCCAAACTCTGATTTACTCTGTAGTTAAAACCCAAACTCTGATTTAACTCCGCAGTTAAACCCAAACTCTGATTTAACTCTGTAGTTAACTGCTGGAGCAGAGTCCAGGGTGAGGCCAGACCTGGATGAGGCTCAGAGGAGGGGAGTGCGGGCATGTCTGGGCAGGGAGAGGGCCGCACGCAGGATTCTGCTCTCTGTGCTACTAGAGTATTTACAATTCTGTTTTTCCTAAAACTGCCCCCCCAAAATTTAAATCTCAGGGTTTGTATAATTTTAATCTATGTTAGCCACTTCCCTATTTTATAACATAAAATAACAAGGAATTTAACCAAACCTTTAGGGTTTTCTAGGATGTATATGGTAGAAGCTAAATATTTATTTTTAGCAGGGCAAAAGCAACAGAAATAATACCACCACCACTTTTTCTATCCGAATATCCCTTCAACGCGACATCAGAACTCACAATGACCACATCAGGAAAATGGCCCAAATGAAGCCAAAGTCCCTTTGACCACTCCCTTCTTCGTGCTAACCCCAAGATGCTGAATTCAATGATTTATCCAGTTACTGGAAATGGAAAGTTTCTGGCTTGTAGGGACCATGGCTGCCTTCTGTTTTCCTAATGGCTACACAAGATGGAATCAGTTAGTTTATCAGTTTGAATCTCCAGATCTCATTTTTGTTTTTTACTCAAGTACCAGAAAACTGGAGGATTTCCCATGTGGATACCAACAAGGTTTCTTCTCTGAGGGGAGGAACAAACCCTGGGTGACTCGTTTCTCTTTTTCTATGAAAGAAGCACAGATAGACCGTTTTGTCAGCCTGAGCCCCGTCTGCACAGTGCACTCCCGAATGTCCAAAAGACTCCAGGCGCTGGTGAGAGAGTTCCTGCTGACCCTGCACGGAGGCCCTCTATGGCCACCCGGGTGGGAGAGATGCAGGCTGATTCTGAGTAGAAAATGGAAAAATTTGGGAGCGAACTTTCTTTGGATATTAAATATAACTATCTCAGTATGAATAACTTTAATATACTAGTCATGATATATGTTATATTTAAAAATTCTCCATAATTTTAATTCAGTTAAAACACATCATATTTCAAAAGAATGAATAACATTGGTATTAAAATTACTGTTTAAGAGGTTTTTCTAAAACAAATACTGTTCCTTTATATCACATTATTGTAGAAAATACTGTTTAATTTAAGTGGATGCAAGTTGTTTACTAAAAACGACACATAACTATGCTAGTTGTTCCTAAGAAAGAAATAGAATGCAAGGTATGGCCACAAACCCCACGGTCCAGCTGACACACTGAGCTGTCCTTGCTTTGCAGTGTGTGTCCTTTAGCCTCCAGACCTGAAGCAATCACCTCGGATGACTGGCTTTCTGTCAAAGGCACTTGGCATCCTCTACCCTTCACCCCTCCGTATCGCTGAGCTTAATCCTATGCTGTGTACTCTTAAAATCAGCTTCCTTCTAAGCAAATCTGTGTCTACTTTAAAAGACTGAAAATGGAAAAAAATAAATATTTGCCAAATTAAAAACAAAAATTAAGCAATGGTTCTCAGGTCCTAAATAAAGATAATCCTGAATTAAAAAGAATGACAAAAGACTTATTTAGCTCTTTAAATGACTTACATATATTACAAAAAAGCAGAGAAAACATTCGCATGTTAAAGTGTCCTAAAGTAAATCCTTTCAGAATTGGGAAAAGAAAAAAATATTTCTCCTTATAAGTGAGAGAATTAAGCCTCTTATTTCTAATTTGTATTTGTTCCTGCAAGAGCCAAGTCTAGGGCCATGGACCTGAAATTCTGAACATATTAATTACAGCAGGCACTGGATTCAGGCACCGAAGGGGTGGCCTTGGGCATACCATGTACACATAGAAGGGGTTTGTGGGCAAAAAAAAACAGGAGAGAAAGGTGCTCTCAAGAATCCACAGGTGACAGAGAGTGCAAAGTTGGCAGCAAAACTGGTTGTGCTACCGACAGTGGCCCAGGTGGGGCTATGAACCGACAGACAGCGGCCAAGGTGGGGCTATGAGCCGACAGACAGTGGCCCAGGTGGGGCTATGAGCCGACAGACAGTGGCCCAGGTGGGGCTATAAGCCGACAGACAGTGGCCCAGGTGGGGCTATGAACCGACTGACAGCGGCCAAGGTGGGGCTATGAGCCGACAGACAGTGGCCCAGGTGGGGCTATGAGCCGACAGACAGTGGCCCAGGTGGGGCTATGAACCGACAGACAATGGCCCAGGTGGGGCTATGAACCGACAGACAATGGCCCAGGTGGGGCTATGAACCGACTGACAGCGGCCAAGGTGGGGCTATGATCCGACAGACAGTGGCCCAGGTGGGGCTATGATCTGACCGACCCCTTTGTGCTGCAGGCGGAAGAGAGTACCACCGGGTGGTCCAGGGGCATGGGTTGGTGGCAGAAGCTGGTGCTGCAGATTCCATTTCTGGGGGTGAGGATACACCAGGAGTCCTGAAGGCACGTGAGTGGGTTTTGGGTGAGGAATTCTAAAACCAAAGGTGCTGCAGTGAATTCTGGAAGGGGACGCCTCCTCTTCGCAGGGGCACGGCAAGTCCACGTTCCTAAGTGGGCAGGAATCAAGTGATGACAGCTGGGGAGGAGGGTGTCAGTTCTAAGAACTTTTCCCTCTAAGTTCTCAGTTCCCTCTCACCCTCAGGGACCTGGAATCACAGGACAACGTGCCACACGACAGCCTGTGTGCAGAACACAGCCTCGCTTCCCCAGACATCCAGTCTCCCTCCAGCCCGGGCCCCTGTGATGTCTTTCTTTGGACTCCAAATGTGTGGTGTTTGCTAAACACCAAGCAATTCTTCAACACCAACTAAGTGTCTAACTTTTTCTTTTCTTTTTTGAGACAGTCTTGCTCTGTCGCCCAGGCTGGAGTGCAGTGTTGTGATCTTGGCTCACTGAAACCTCCACCTCCTAGGCTCAAGTGATTCTCATGTCTCAGCCTCCTGGGTAGCTGGGATTACAGATGTGAATAGCTGGGATTACACATATGTGCCACTATGCCCAGTGATGTATTTTTAGTAGAGATGAGGTTTCACCATGTTGGCCAGGCTGGTCTCCAACTCCTGGCCTCAAGTGATCCACCTGCCTCGGCCTCCCAACGTGCTGGGATTACAGGTATGAGCCACTGTGCCCGGCTAAGTGTCTAATATTTTAATTCTGACACCACTTAGAGCCAGCCCAGACCCCAAAAGTTCAGGGCTCAGTCCCACAACACTGCTCCACTACAGATGCCAGTCACAAGCCTTGGGCACCCATTTATACTTCTAATATTTATATTTTTGATGTCTATTGCCTATAAACTGGGTACTCCCATAACCTCCTGTCAAGTTCAGTAATTTGATAAAACTACTCAAAGAACTCAGCAAAACACTGTACTTATATTTACTGGTTTACTATAAAAGATACATATCAGCAACGGCCAAACGGAACAGCCGCACAAAGCCAGGGAAAGGGTGGGGAAGGAAGAGTGCCTAAGAGATTCTGGTCAAAAGGCCTGAGCAGCAGAATTGCTCCCTCTTTGTGTTCTCCAGGAGCAGCTGAATGAAGAGAAACCCCTTTATAATATGACCCAGACGACACTCACTTTGTTACCTACCACAGTACCAGATACAGACTCTTGAAAATCCCCATTTTTTCCTCATAAACAGCTGAACAATTCTGTCTTCAGTGGTCAAAACACTTCTCTATCAAAACTTGCTAAAATTTCTCTCCTTCCCTCAAGCCCCTGAATTTTGAACTACCCTCAGTCTGAGCCAGCATACAACTCCTCCTTCTTGCCCCTCCTAAGAACACACAGATTTCAGAGTAAAACATTCTGGGATCTAGAATCTGGTTTTCCCACCCTCTATCCTGTCTTCCCTCCTCCCTATAAAAACACAAAAAAGCCCGTGTCTGCCTAACTTTTGAGATCCTCAAAGGTATGATAGTTGCCACCTTCTCCCTGTTGCAATCCTCCTTTAGAGTTCGGTAACTTCCTACCTAAAGCTAAATTTATTTGACGAAGTCTAGAAACAGCCCCAGGATAATAACGATTCCATATCCAAGAAGACCTCCCCAAATCCCTTCCATCCCAACTCTAACTGCATCTGCCTGTGGGTCCCCAGCGCTCCCAGGCTCTGCAGCTTCTCTCCTTCCATGGCTGCTGTGAGCAGGCTGGGGCACCTGCAGGGGAGGCTCCTCGGGAAGCACCAGCTAGGCCAGGCGCGTCCAATCTTGGCTTCCCTGGGCCACATTGGAAGAACTGTCTTGGGCCACACATAAAATACACTAACACTAACGATAGCTGATGAACTGAAAAAAAAAATCACAAAAACATACCATAATGTTTTAAGAAAGTTTACTGATTTGTGTTGGACCACATTCAAAGCCCAGGACAGCATGTGGCCCAGGCCTGTGGGTTGGTTGGAAAAGCTTGAGCCAGGCCTTCAATTGCTTTCTTTTGCAGGCTGAATATTGGCCTTAGCTTGGAATGACTGTCCTTGGGCTTCAGTTTCCCAATCAGGGCTATCCACTTAGTTTTAAGTAATACCCATTGTTGGAAATATCCAACAAAATCACTCAAACAGCATTTACAGAAGAAAAGGAAACTGTAAGGCACTTAC